AGCTTTGGCAGTGCTCATCTTAGGACAGTTTACCTACAGAATTCTTGGGCATCATTAGGAAGTGGGCAGGTATTGAAAGATTAGGAGGATGGCACCAACGAAGAGATATTTGAAGATGATCCCTCTGCATTTCTACAGAGGGTAGGCTCATAAGGAGAGGCTGGTATCTAGCAAATGTGTAGGGTGCCACTGCAATGCATTAGGCGGGCTGACTACTGACTTGAGCTAAGGGCCTCACAGTGGGAAGGAAGTGAGAACTATTCATTAGCTAAGGGATGCAGAGTTAACAGAACAGTGGCACTGCATCTCATGGACACTTAGTAGGTACCAGCTGAGCTTTGGGGGCAGGAACTGAGATAGATAGATAGATAGATAGATAGATAGATAGATAGATAGATAGATAGAGAGATAGATAGAGAGATAGATAGAGAGACCGCAACGCTGCTTGACTTCTTCCTAACAAGCAGATGGCATGAAGTGAACTTGAAATGAGGTGTGAACTTCTGTGTCTTGAGGTTTGCATTTTCACAGCTCTCACCTCATGACCCCTTTATGTGTCAGCCATTTGATCTGAAGCTCAGTCAAATGTAATTTGTTGCATTTTCTGGGAAAAGTCCTCTATTTTCTGGCTATATGATAGAATTAAACTCTCAGGGAGTTCTAACAGTTTGACTACAGGCAACATTTGCCACATATTGCAACCTAAAACCTAGGCATTCAAAAAATGGGGTTCTCCTATAGCTTAATTAATTAAAAGAAGAAAAGATAGGCTTAAAAAATAGGGTTTCTTTGTCAGACTTTGGCTGGCCTAGAACCTGATATACAAGGTTGGCTTCCAACTCACAGAGATCCACTGGCTCCTGCCTCCCGAATGGTGGGAACAAAGGTGTGTACCACCACCCCTGACTATTTTTAGATGTAAATTCTTCTCTAGGCATGACATGGGCCAATGAATTGTCCTTCCCCAGTATTTTGACATGATGGTGATGCAGTTAGACCTTGGTTTCTAAGGTCATTGAGTATTGGGCATAGATGGACCTTATAGACCATGTAAATCAACTCCATTGACAGGGGAAGGAAAGATGGATAAAGAGTGATTCCTTCTAGAAGATGTCACTTGCCTCAGGCTAATGTCGTAGTGTAGCATGATCAGCAGAACTGAGGTTTCCAAGCCTAGTGCCTGGCATCTGTGCTGGGCCCTTGGTCCCCAGCACCCACCAGCTGCGATGCATACTCCTCATCTGTGCACCGCAGGACTCCACAGCAGATGCTGCTGTGCAGATGTGACTTGAAGACCAAGGACTGCTGGAAAGCAGGCTGGAGAGGAATTCCCATAAATATGAGCATCCGGTCTACAGCATTGAGATCCTGCTCTCCTTTGGGCTGGTGATATTCAGTGTCAGTGGTTCCCTCATGGTCACCCTGATGGGCGTGAGTGAGAAGGGAGGATTGTTGATGTGGGTTGGACTGGAAAGGGTTCCAGTGAGCTGGGTGGTCCTTTAAACCAACCCCTTAGCTGCAAGGGAAATTCAACTGTGGAGCAAAAGAATCCTCAAAATCATTCAGGATGTTATCCTGCCAAAGGAAACTGATGGTAGTTTAAGTTACTTGGTAAAGAACAGCAGTGGTGTGCTATGTTTACAAGTTTGACTCAAATAGTGTGTCACTAAAGCATTTCCCTGAAGAGTGTAGGCTCTGCTTAGAGTGCAAACTACCATGGAACTTTGAGAAGTGGCTAAGTAGGATCATGAAGACTTGGAGGGGTCATCTGGAAAATTCTGGCAACTAAGATTGCAAAGAGAGGCCGATAATTTAAGGTACTTTAGGGGTCATCTCATTCCACATTTTGTTCCATCAATTTCCTCCATGCTGCACTATTCTCTCCTGGAGAAAACTCCTTGAGATTCAAGCAACTATAAAAGGTTCAGGAAGCTACTGAAACTAACAAGATTCACTAGGCCTTGTTGGGTAGAAGAGAACCTCTCACCTTCTGAGCTCCCCATAGAAGCCTCTCCAGCCGGTCTCCAACAATCTGCAAGTCATACAGAGATGCAGGATGTGGCTTTTTCATGAGTTGTCACCAAGACTGAGTTAATTTTTGATGGTATAGCTGCCTTTGAGCCATTGTAAGTAATCCTTTATCCATCCACCTGTAAGTTACCCCAATGAACTCACTGGTTCACCTCAGACTTTGGTAGAATCATTTCTCTGGTGAGTTGTGGGTTCCTAGCAGGGAAAGTACATTTGTTCACATTCAGGGAAGTGATGCAATCCCTCACTAAACAGATGAACAAATACAATTTGGGAGAGTGGTGTTGATGTATCCTGGAGCCACATGGCATGTTTGTGCTTGTATTCAGATGGAAAGAGAAAAGATTCCCATTAAAATGAGGGGATAATGTGGGGGTTGGGGGAGGGCACGGGAGGAGGGGAGACAAAGGGAGAGGGACCTGGAACTGACTTGTGAAGCAACCTTGTTTCTAATCTAAATTTAAACTTAAAAATAAATTATATATATAAATGTGTGTGTGTGTATATATATATATATATATACATATATATATGTAAAAGTAAAACCTAGTAGCTATCCTGGGGCCTGGGGGTGGGAAGGCACTTAGGAAAGGAATGCAAATTCAACTCTGCATGAGACTTCTGGATTTGTGAGTTCAGAGGCAGAGTGTTAGTTTTACCCTTGAGTTCTGACCTTCAGAATTCAATTCCAGCCAAAGAGAACTTAACTGGAGTTACAAATTTAAGCATTGGGCTTCAAAGTGCTGTAGGGACCAAGGTCAATGAGCAAGCAGAGGGACTTGAAGGCTCACCTAGACCCAAACAGTTCCATATCTGTCTTTTTTGTGTATTGGACCAAACTGAAGGGTTATGAGAATATATTCATCACAAGAAAATACTGAAGTCACAGTAACATTTAGCATAACCCTGTGAAATGGGACTGTGTGAGCCTCTACAGGCCCTGAAACTTAACTTCTCTGAGTTCTTGAATCTTAGAGGGAAACTCTTTTACACATGTGTGGACAAGCACACAGAACTTTGTCTCTGTAAGCGCCAGCTGCCAGCAGATGTGAGAGGCCTGTTCCTGGCTCATGGCTACCAGAACCTCTGCAGGGAGCTCCTGCTGATACTATGAGGGTGTTCTAGAGAGTCAACCATGTAAACTCTCTCCCCCATATGAATCCCTTTCCAAACAGGAATTGGGCAGATGTGCCTAATTCACAAGGATTTCAGGTCAGCAGCTCATTCTGCAAGTTGTCTTAAGTATACTTTGAAGTTCTCTAGGCTTATTTTTCCTCTTGAGAGTTGGATATTTTGCATCAGACTGTCCTATTGTCCATAGCATTGGGGCATCCAGACAATGGCAATATTCCATACAGCAGTGGTTCTGGGGTAGTGTCAACATCTGTAGACATTGTTGTTATGACAACCTGGGGCTGGAGAGACGGCTCAGTGGTGAAGAGCATGGACTGCTCTTCCAGGGGACCTGGGACCAGCACCCACACAGTGGTTCACAACCACCTGTAAATGTAGCTTTTTGTGGAATATTAGTTTAAAATGTGTTACATTTGTAAATGCTGTGGGATATTTAATGATGCAAAGATGCACTGAATTCTTTTATGTGGCATTTGTTCAACTCTGTGAACTTGTGTTACTTTGCCTGCCTAAAACACCTGATTGGTCTAATAAAGAGATAAATGACCAATAACAAGACAGGAGGAAGAATAGGTTGGAATGCCAAGCAGAGAGAATAACCATGAGATGAAATCTAGGGAAAAGGAGAAGGAGCAAGAAAAGGAGAAGGAGAGAGGGATGCCAGGGGCTAGCTACTCAGCCACACAGCTAGCTATGGAGTAAGAAGGGAAGAAAGATATAGAATAAAGAATAGTAAAAAGCCCAGAGGCAAAATGTAGTTTAAGAGAAATGGGGAAAGCTGGCTAGAAAAAAAGCTAAGCTAAGGCCAGGCATTCATAAGTAAGAATAAGTCTCTGTGTATTTATTTGAGAGCTGGGTGGCAGGCCCCCAGAAGAAGGGAAAAAAAGCCTACCATAGTTCTAGAGAATCCAGTCTCTCTTTTGGCCTCTATGGGCACTGCACGCATGCAGGCAAATACTCATATACATAAAAAAATAAATAAAATTAAAAAAGAAAAGAAAGTTGATTTTTATTTTCAGTTTTCAAAAATTTTTGAAGCAGATACACCCTGAATAAACTTAACTGTTAGAATATTTTAAGCCTTTTTCAGACCCACATTATTATTGCTAAATTTTTGTTTTATTTTTTGAAGACACAACCTGAGTTTGTTCAAAGGCTAACCATGAACCATTGTCCTGTCCCTAGCCTCTAAGTCCTGGAGTTACAGACATACACACCCAGTTTGGCCCCATTTTAAAACCAGAACTTCCCACCCATGGCAATTCCCAGGAATGCTGTTTGTATATGTGGATACTATCCTGTTCTCCCTATACATTTTTGATATTTCCTATTAACAATCACATTCCTTCCCTGATCACATACTTATACTTGGCTAATAAAATGTAAACTTTTGACATGATATTCAACACCCTCAGTACCACACACCAACCTTCCACCCAAACCTTATCTCTTACTTTTGACTGCTGCACAGCCTACAGTTCTAAAATTTAATCATTATATAGTGAATTTGGCAGTGCTTTCTAGTATCTCAGTGTCAGGCATGATTATGATTCTCCGTGATTACTACTTATTCTTGGGTCTATACCCTTTATTGGGATGTTGGAGCAGATGCTACTGGATACATTACAGGCAGTGAGAATAGATTAGGGGAAAAGATGTGTCTAGCCGAATGCCAAATCGTATCACCAACTCTCATAGACTTGAACTTGGCATACCACTCCCATTACATCATTCATTGCACAGTCTCCTGGTGTTTCTCCCTCACTGGATGCACCCCCATGAAGGTAAGAATGGTACCTAATCTATGCCCAGTTAGAGAACATTGGAGGTCTCACCTTCACGTAGTCATATTCACAAAGATAGGAGGATTCCAAGTTGAAGTGCATGAAGTAAAGCTTGATTCGAAACCCCTCTGGGACAGTAATATTCCAAGTCACCTCGGAGTCACTTGGATAGGAATCTGGATAGCCAGGGGACTGGATCTGGCCAAACATTTCATTTAGCTCCACAGTATGGGCTGAAACCTCTAACAGGGCCAGGCACAGAGCATGGCAGAGAAGGAGCAACCTGAAAGACATGAAAGAAGATTTGCTCACATCGATAGTTGCAGGTCTCCAACACCAAGCTAAATACCTGCTCTCACCAGGGGCCTTGTTCTCCTGGTCTGCAGGATGTTTGGAGAAAGTAACTAGGTGATTTCTGCAATTGCTTTTAGCTTTGGTCTTTGACAATTTGTTACACATACTGAAGTTTTCTGTAAAGTAGCACATCTGGGACCCTGACACATGTTCTCCTACTCTTAGAAGCATAACGATTATAATTAGGTGATGATTGGTATTACTTCTTCAATTGCACCTCACTTAAGAACCATAAATTATGTAGTTTTAAGATATAAGTAATTATAACTAATATTGGGATAAAACCTAAACTCAGTGGAGGAGTCTACAGATATTGAACACAAATGATATTCTGAAATGTATTGAAGACATATAGAATATATAGACAAATCTTGATAAAGATAGAATTAACAAAACAAGTCTTGGTGACTACCCTATAAGAATCATAGTTTATAATGCATTTCTAGAGAAATGAAAAGTAGTGGACTACTAAGAGAGTTTCAAACACAGTATCAAATGTGGATGATGCAATACCAAGGCAGGGTAACTAAGGCTGGTCAAAGTCCTAATGGTCAGGTCGCGACATAGCACTTTCCCAGCAAGACCCAAGGACTTTGAACTCAAACATCTCAGGCATGACTCGTTAGCTAGTCTCCTAACAGGTTCCTGCAAACATTTCTGATATTTTTGTCTGTCCATGGGCATGTGTGTACATGCGTATGTGTGTGTATGCATATGTGTATGCATGAATGTGGAGGCCAGTCATAAACCTCAGGCCCTGTTCCACAGGAGCCATCCATCTTACTTTTGTAGATGGCTCTCTTACTGGGACCCGGGGCTTGCTCATTAGGTTAGGCTGGCTAGATGCCTGCTAAAAGATGGGATCCTCCCATCCTTTGCCTCCCCAGGTCTGGAATTACAAGCTAGTTGTCCAGGGCTGGGAGTGCAGGTTCAGCTGTGCCCGGAAGAATGGATTCAACTCCAGGCCCTGACTTTACTTCTCCTACCCATTCTAGGGAAGTGGTGGGAGTTCTCCATTTAGTTCTTCATCTCATGTAGGATGATAGTAACGACTTCCCATGGGGCTGCTCTGCACACGGGCACTGGAAAGAGTCCTGAGTGTCCAGCCCTAGGTGAAGGCTTGCTTTGACGATCCATCATCATGCCACTTCCTGAAAGTAGGAACCTTTGACTCCCAAGCCTGACTTTCCTGCAATAGTGACAACTGGATTACACAAGGCTGAAAGGTTGCTTTCCTCCATGTCTGCTTTTTCCAGAGCACACAGAGGAGAAAGCTCCACAGGCCAGTTCTGCTGAGGCTGGCGGTTGACTGACACCTTAGCCCAGGCCCCAGGTTGCGCACAGCAGGCAGCTGGTGAGTGTGCACGAAAGGCCCCATGGAGTGTTCTGTTCTTTGCATCTCAAGACAGACGTAGACACATGAAGCAGTTATCTCCATCCATGTACAAGACTGAAGCATATGTTTGCTTGCCTGCCTTAGGGGCTGTGATTCAAAGGATGTACGTGGCAGCTTTCATTTCTCATCACATTCATGTTTTGGCTTCGTAGGCACCAGGCACTGGCTGTACAATTCCTGACACCTGTTATCTGTCCTCCAGTTGATCAAAAAGTTGAGCTACATTTGCTTGAAATGTCAAAAGTGATACGGAGAACTGGAGTTTCAAAGACTCTGTGGGGAGAGCGGGCTGTCAGGGGTGCATAAAGAGGCTGCATGCGTAGGGTGCTGTGGGATGAAGGGGGCTTCTCACGCCTCCACTCACCCCCTCTTTTCAGTGTGCACCACCAGCACTCCAATTTTAAGACTCAGACTTGGAAGAATCCCTTACCCACCACCCTCACTTGACAGACGACGGAAAGTATACCCTAAGAGATGGCACATCATGCCAAATACCATATGGTGAATTAACTTCAACAGCAGAGAAGAATAACAAAAGCTCACAGAAGAAGTTGGGTCCCTGCCCGTATCATGCCCAGGCATCAGGCCAAAGCAATTAATCCTGTGAAAAATAATTTAAAAAACCCATAGCTTTATGTGGAAATTAAAAAAAAATACTAATGCTTGAACAGCCCCCACCCCCACCCCCTGTGCATAAAATTCTGTTCTGTTGCCTGGGGAGTGGCATTCCTGAAGTACCAGAGACCACTGTAATCTGTAGCTGGGATTGAGAGCCTAGCAGAGTGTAGCAGGAAAATTCTTGGAGTGCAAAGACACAAGAATGAATCTGGGCCCTTTCAAGTTCATCAGTGTGGCTCTGGGCAAGTTGCTTAACTGCTTTTATCTCATGTGTTTATTAGTCCTATGTCACACAAAATCTGAAGCTAACAGGAAACGATGCTCATCAAAGTGTCTTGCAAACTCTGAAGTGCTGTGTGCCTGTGAGCCCAACCCTTTCAGAGACAGCTACTGGAACAGGTCCCTAGAACTTCACTTTGATATTCAGTAATTGAGTTCAACTTAATCATATTTATTGTATTTCTACAGGAAAGGGACATTATGTTCAATGCTGGTCACCTAACATAATGCATTTATTCATAACACGAACATGCAGACATTCTACAAAGATGAAGACACTGATTGCATCTCTTAGAGGGGAAGTGGGCATTTAAATAAGGCGCCACACCAAAGATGATAAGAAACAGTCACAGGAGAGAACAAAGAAAGAAGAGCCATGTCTGGGGGATGGAGACTAGGAATGAAGACGCAATCTTGAGCCTGCCAGTCTATTCTAGGTGGGGAATTGTTAGGAGGGTCGTTCTAAATCAAGGGTTAAGCATTTGCATGCTTTGGAATGGTGGAGACACAGGTAGAGCAGATTATCATTCTGTATACAAAAGAAGAAAAGTCATTGTTTTAGAAGAAAGGAAAATGAAATATTCTGGCAGGTTAAAAAAAAAAGACTTTACGAAGATCAGGATGATGAAATTAACTCTTAGAGATTGGTCTTCCTCTGAGCCGTAGGTACCTGGAATTCAAAGTTACAGATACTGAAGCTCCCTACTGGCCCTGGACTCAGCAAAGTGGCCAGGTGAGTGAAGACGAGAAAAAAACAGAAACTCCCAATTTAAAGGGAAAATGAATGGGGAAATAGGTGTGCAGGGACTTAATGCCTCAACAGGGTGTTTTTCTTGTTCTCTTTGAGTGTTGCCAGCAGCCTTGACACTTAAAAGTGATAAAAAAATAATTAGGATAGTTGGGGTTTCAGACTCTGGGAAAGCTCATAAGAAATGCCTAGTGAGGAGCCTCAAGCAATACAACAAGAGACAAGAAAGGTTGAAAAGCTTCAAGCCTTTAGAATTTAAAGTGATAGGTTTCAGATTAAAGTGATAGGTTTCAGAATCCCAAATGCTCCTTTAAAAAACTGTGGTGTCTCTTTAAGAGCCATTTGGTGCATTTCATAGCCTGATTCATGTCACCAGCTGCCTCTGATTTCAGTGAGAAATGCAGAATTTATAGGGAACTGTAAAATGGGGACAGGTTTTTAGTTTTCTAAATTGAGGTTTAACTGGCAAACTTCTGAAGGCTCGGGAAACCACGAGCTGGGCTGTGGGGGGACTGGTTTCTTTCCCGTTTAGAAGAAATAAACACACAAACACATTATCTAACTCTCAAAGTGGTGCGAGAAAGAAAGCATCGCTCTTTGCTGAGTAGGAAAATGAAGAATCAGTCTTGTGGGCAAGAGGAGGAGGATCACATTGGCCAGTAGGCAGCACCCTGTGCTGGCAGAGGGAGAAATGTGAGCCTCTGCTGCGCCAGGAACAGGCTTTGTACAAACTCTCTGGTTTCAAGTTGTGCGTCGGGAGTCTCTGGGAAGGTGCCCCAGGGACAAAGCTCGCTTTTGGAGGGCCCTGAGGATTGATGAGAATCCCAAGTCCCCAGCACACAGAGGGCAAGCAGGTGAGTCTGCTAGAGACAAGGTCAGACCCAGAGGCTGGGTCTTAGAGAGGGAACCCGATGCTTTCCCCTGACCTGGCACTCACCTCATTTTCTTGCCTTGTGTGCTCCTGGCCTTGGTCCTGTCTGCCAGACTTGTCTGTGAGCTCGTCCCCTTCCCCGGTGTGGTGTCAGCGATGTCTTATCTTTGTTCTGAGGTCCCTGTGTGTCTCTGGAATTGGCTGGCATTCTCCATTCAGGTCACGCCTTCCCCTGCCTGCAACAGATCCCCTCTCCCCCTCTCCCTCTGGCTTTCCCTCTCTCCTCTCTCTGACTGAGCTCATGCACACTCAGAGGGACCTGACAGAACTGTTTCCTTGGAAGATCTGCTGGCCAGTCCCCTCCTTGGGAGGGACTGCAGCCCTTGAGAAAAAAAAATCTGAGAGACCCAGAGGTGTGTGTGTGTGTGTGTGTGTGTGTGTGTGAGAGAGAGAGAGAGAGAGAGACAGACAGACAGACAGAGACAGAGAGACAGAGAGAGACAAAGAGACAGAGACAGAGAGAGACAAAGAGACAGAGACAGAGAAAGACAAAGAGACAGAGACAGAGGCACACACACACACACACACAGAGAGAGACAGAGAGAGAGAGAGACAAAGAGAGAGACTAATTTCTCTTCAGCCTCCCTTGCCCAAGTTTGTTCTACTTCAGGATCCCAGCAAAAGAACAATTAAACAGAAACTGCCAACTAAAAAGACAGTTCTAGGAGATTATAAAAAAGAATGCAGATCCCAAGTCTCAGACTGTCTGTGGACATCTGCAGGCTTTCCTGGAACCCCAGTGCCTGACCCAGACTGTGAGGGAGCACCAGTTTCTGCAGTTGGCTACTTAGTTTTCCGTGCAGAGAGGTAGACAGACACGTGGCATGTTCCAGCATGCAAAGGTCTAATCTACCCATTTGGGAAAGGGCTTCAGCATATTCGGAGAACCAGGTGACCTATGGGTGTAGGAAGACCTGTGCCTATGAGATGTCGATGTCCCAGGTCTGTGGAGAAATGGTAGAGTGGTTCTTAGCTGAGGTGAGTAACAAGAGACAGCGTTCTTCATAAAGACAGACAGCCCAAGCCGGGCGGTGGTGGTGCACGCCTTTAATCCCAGCACTCGGGAGGCAGAGGCAGGCGGATCTCTGTGAGTTCGAGGCCGGGCTGGACTGACAGCCTCCGAAACAATACAGAGAAACCCTGTCTCGTAAAAACCAAAAAAAAAAAAAAAAAAAAAAAAAAAAAAGACAGACAGCCCAAATGGGGACTTTCTCCACAGGTAAGCCTCTCCACAATTAAGCCCTATACTATAACTCCCACCACAATATAACCTCTGCACTCTGACTTCTCTGCGTGACATAGCCCACTCCCTTCCACAATAATCCCTTCCACAAAAATGGCAGCCAGCACCGAAGAGAGTATAAAAGTGGCACTCAATGAGCATCATCTCTGTGCTAGGCACAAATGTTATCTAAATTACTTTCACGAACTTCTGAGAGTTCTCTGTGATGCATCTTTTACATGATGGCTAGGCAATTCTATGACTGGCCAAGATCTCCAGACACCCATTATCACTCCTGAGACAATTGCCTCGTCAAGCCAGTTGTTACTCAGAACAGGCACTGTGGTAAGCACATATCATACCCACTCATTCCTTCGAGTACCTTTGTGTCTTGGTCAGTGGTAGCATTATCTCCACTTTCCAGTGAAGACACTACCCAGAGAAATTGGTCCCATAGCTAGAAAGGGAGGAAGAATTCGATCTCTTACACATTCTATGATACCGGCTCTCTATGATTTATTATAATGCATGTGGCATTTGTACACTCACTAATGGAGAATATCAATTTTGAATAATTTGAAAAGAGCTTTAGACACCGCTCGAGAACTTAGCTGTGATCTGTGTTTTCTGTCCAACCTGGCTGAACACTTCAGGCATGACACGGTTTCTGATCCTGCCTCCTTATTTGCTGAATGGAAGCCGTGATGAGGCACAAGAGAGATTATGATTGTGGAAGGTGCCCTCCAGTCATCCAAAAGGCTGCCTGCCACTTGAATCAAGTTGACAAGCATACATTCTCTACCCTTAGATAGTGCTCCTTTGACATATTTGGGGAAGCAGTGACTTGACATCCCCTGTAATTCTTGCCCATTCTCTCCAGTTTCTCTATTTTTAGCTCTTGAGTGCTAGCCTCGTGTGCTCGGCATGGTTACGAGGCTGTGGTTGATAATGCAGGTGCAAGTGTGTGCAATGAGGAAAGAGGCTTGGGCTCAGGCACTGTCTGAGAGAAGTGTGTTCTGTTTCAGGCAGGATAAAGAGAAAAGTCTGCACAATTCCCATTCAGCAGACTGCCAGGCTCTTTAGACATCAAATGACTCTCTCAAAACAACATTTTAATGATTTAAGTGTAAACGAATCAGAAACACATGGGTTGCATTTCTTCTGGAATACACAAGGGTTTTCAAACCAAAGGAGAAAGAACTTGGCAAGATGCTCACAGTGTGCAGTGGCCTGGCCGGGGAAAGGAGTCCCGCAGTTCTCCTGCAGCCTAGTCCGCCTCTCCTGGGTTTAGCATCCATACTAGGGAAGGAGGTTACTCTGGATCTGGGCACAGAGGGAAGGGCTTTGGAGAGAAAGCCAGAAGCTGCCCCTTGTAAAGTGTCACATAGAGCAATTAGGCCTCTGGGAATAGCTTCCTGCCCGTGCTTTTTTAAGGCTGCCAGTGATCAATGGGGGGCATTTGAAGGATGTTCTGAGCTAAGGTCCTGGCAATATGTAGCAGATCTGGTATGTGCCTCCTCTAGGAGTCAGCCAAGACTCAGTAGGGGCTGCTGGGGTGAAGACACTCTCTGACGTGCAGTGAAGGCTGTAGGTGTGACTCTTGACAGCTCACACTGGTTTGGACCATGTTTTTTTGTTTTGTTTTGTTTTGTTTTGTTTTTTCAAGACTCCTTGAGGTGTCCCCATCAGATCTGGATGTGGGAGGGTGCCCATGATGCTCTGGGGGTAAGATCCCTGGGCTCATGTTTTGTTGCCCCAGTTGTGGCCTCAGACAAGTCACCTGCTTCCTTAGGGGTGGCATCAGTGTGACTGTGAGCACGCAGAGCATGATGTGGGTATGAGAAGAGGCACTGGTTATGAGCTGCTTGTCGGTGCAGAGACAGGCCACAAGAGCTGTCACAGCTGTGGCACTCGCTTCTTCTGTGGTTTTGACAGTGCCGTCATTCATTACCCAGAATCCTATCACAGATATTAAGACAAATCATGCTTGGAAAGATTCAATTATCTTCCTTGAAAGTTTAACAAAGATGGCTTAAAATGTTCACAAGGAACGAAAAGCTCTTTAGTTCCAAGCAAAGAAATGGGGATAACAAGGGTGGGCTCGGAGCCCTCCAGTTGCAGTCAGGAAGTCCCATCAGAAAGGCAGCTTCTAAGGGAGTGAGTTCTACAGCATCTCTACTCTGGAACACTGGGTTTACATTTTCCACCAAAGTATTTATTTTGAAGGGGCTGAGTTAAAGTTTCTGGAACTCTACTAATGCGTCAGAAAATGTAAAGAATTCGGTCAATGGGTTTTCTTTTTGCTGGGGGCAAAGCCTGAAATCCAGGCTTCCTCCTGAACATCTGAGAAACAAATAGAGAACTCAGAGTGAAATTTGGAATTAAAGTGTGGAGGAAGGTGTGGCAGAGCACAGTTACAACCCTGTCCTCAGGAGAGAGGCAAGAAGACAGTGACTTCAGTACTAGTCTGGGATGCACAGTGATATCTGCATCAAAAACCAAAGCAAAAGAAAAATTAAACTTCAGTTCATTCAGCGCATTGACCATCAGTATGCCACGACCTCTGACCTTCCAGGTCATCACAATAATGTGAGAAATTAAAAGAATTCCCACACTTTGTCCCAGGAGACTCAAATTCACTTAATCAACAATGTGGTTGTTGAATCTGGGTGAAACCCTGCCTGGCATGATTGTACTATTTTTTGTTGTTGTTGTTGTTGTTACATACAACATAGAACATCTTAGAGTTAACATCTCCTTACATTTTATGATCTATTTTGGCTTCTGCAGAAACACCTATATGTTATTGCAGGGAATAGTCACATGTTTTTCACTGATGCATGGAGGTTTAGAGAAAGCCTGAGCAGGTGCAATGACCAAGTGGTAAGGGTTCTGTCTCATAGAGAACCCCTGAGTCCCTGTGAGCACATGATTAATGTTTGCAGTTCAGGCCTGCCTGACCTCAGACCAGGGCTCATTCTATTCATTAGTAGACTTCCTTTTGTTGATGCCTTTTGTTGAATTTGAATATTCACAATATAAGCCATTATGGATTAGAAACACACACACACACACACACACACACACACACACACACACACACACACACACAGCCTTGTCAAAATCCTGGGAGGCGGTAGCTGCCTGGGTGTGTTTCTAGGTCATCTATGCCACTGAGCTACCCATAGGTTTCTTTGCTAGTACTCTGTTGTTTTTGTCACTCTGGTGCTGTAGTGTAACTTGAAGTCTGGAAAGAAAGAAAGAAAAAAAATCACTCCAGACTCTTTTGCTTCTATATGATTTTTAGGATTTTTTTCTTTATGTGAAGAATATCATTGAGATTTTGATGGGAATCCCATTGAATCTATAGCTTGAATTTGATAGTATAGCCATTTTCTCAGTATTAATCTTGCCAATCCTTCAGTTTTCTAGTGTCTTCTTCTATTTCTTTCTTTGGTGTTTTACAATTTTCACTGTAGAGATTTTCACTCCCTCCAATGGGTTTACACCTATGTATATTATTATTGTTATCATTATTATAAATGGGGTTATTTTCCTGATTTCTTTCTCAGCACCCTATTTTACAGTATATAGGAAAGATACTGATTTTTGTATGTTGACTTTGTACAGCTACTTTGCTGTATATGTTTATCAGTTCTAAGGGTTTTCTGACAGAGTCCTTAGGGTCTTTTATACATAAAACATGGTTTGTTACAAATATGCTAAACATACACCCTGGAGAAAGGAAAGCCTCTTCAACAGCAGTGCTGGGAAAACTAGGTATTCACGCACAGGGGAACGGAACAAGATCTTCATCTCTCACACAGCACTAAAATCAATTCAAAGTATGTCAAAGGACTTCATGTAAGACCTGGCCCCCCGAATCTGTTAGAGCAAGACACAGGGAAGGTGTATCAAGATGTAGGTATAGGGAAAGACTTTCTGAAAAGGACTCTGGCAGCTCAGAAAACAAAATAAAAAATGGACAAATGATCCTGTGAGATTGAAAGGTTTCTGCATAACAAAGAAAACAATCTATCGAGGAGACAACAGAGAGAACAAGAGGAAATCTTTGCTAGCTACA